AATTTGGCAGTAATTAGTAATATTTTGGGAATAAAAACATGACAGTCCCATTTTGGAATTTTCAAACGTTTTTAGTCCTACTTCGGGAACTTTCCCTATAATTTTTCCAGCCAGTGCTTATAGTGACTTTTATTAAACAGAAAGCATTATTAGAGTGGAGTAGCAGTTTACATATTAAAATTAAGGCCAATAAAAAAAGCATTTGTAATACAAAAAAGAAGTTAAAGGGATCCGTAGTATAGAATATGCTTAGTTGAATAAAGCTGGGTAATCACATATCAGACCTTATGCAGCAGCACTTAAGGATAGCATAATTTTTTTCCAGTAGATTTTCTTTTTGAGCTCACATAGGGGAACTTTTTATAACCTCTATTTGTGAGGGTTTGGAAATGATAGCAAGAAAAGGCAGGAAACTTTTTCGCATTTCTTGTTATGGGAAAATTTTGTGAGGTTATCAAGGTCTCATAAGCTATCAACTAATCAATTGATATATATGTTTAGAGGCCTGGAATTACTCCTAAAGAAAGTCATACATATGAACTAATTCACGTTTCTGGGTACATAACCCGCTCCTAAAAAACTAATCAACTAATCAACTGTTATATATCAACTAATTCACGTTTCTAGGTGCTGGAGTTAGTTTTACAGAAACAACTTAAGGGGAAACAAAATATGGAGGATTAAAGATGCAAATTCCCTTGCTTAAACTGATGAAAGTAGCTACTTCGAAGAAAATTAGACTGGCCTGATAATCGGAAAATATCCCAAACAATTAAAGTGAAGAATACTGCTTTTGTGGGCATTTCTCTAACACGTATCCAGTATCCCCCGGCAAACCAGGCTGTGGATTGCAGTATTCAATCAACATTCAACAATAAAATGATCACACCAAAGTATACGGACTGGAGTTCTTTACAAAATTTAAAATAATAGGTGTGGTTTTTGGAACGCATTCTAACAAGTCGGCTAGGAGCTGCAAGTTTTTTTAGTATACTTTTTTGAAACGGTGATTATAGTGACGTATATTAAACAGAAAAGATTATTAGAGAAGTTTACATATTAAAATTAAGGATAAAAAAGGGCATTTGTCATACAAGAGCTTTTGCCTACCGAGTTCTTCAACATGAAGTTCAAAAGATACGGGGGAGGGAAGCTAAAAAAGAACCCATGTATGTCTTTAAATGATTATCATATTTCGATTCATGTCATGTGATGTGACTAGGTGATACTGTTGGCCGTCACGCGCCTACCACAGCACCCTCCTCCTTTATCCTGGCTTGGGACAGACATGAAACCAAAAAAAATTGATCTCATGGCGGAGTTTTTAAATGATAATCTTATTATTATGGAAAAAAACGTTTAGGTGCTACATGAAATAAATAAATAAATACCCAAGGTTTTTGCTGTTGCAATTATGGGTTTGGTGAGTGGCTAGCTGTCTATTGTTAAGAAAGGAACCCTATAACGATTGAATTTGGTAAAGGATGGATGGTTGTTTTGTAAAGTTCAAATCCCTCGCCAACATTGCATTAATTAGGCTGTGAGTAGATCCAACCCATTATTATGATATATAATAAAATAAAATCAGTTTGGACCTCTGATGCAATGGCAGAGCGGTAACCTTATTTCTTTTGGTGCACCTGCAATCTTAAGTCTAAGCTTTTGTCTCAAATATGTGCAGTCATTTCAATATTATTACAATTCTTTGGGGTCTCATTTGATTTCCCTTTTTAAAATTGTTTATTTTAGGCTGCGTGAGCTGTTTGTCCTTGAGCGAAGAAAGTTTACATTGTGCAAGGTACGCGCAATTTTATAGGCAATTTATACGATTGAAAAATATTTACAATGCATGATGTTGTGTGGTACTTGTGTGTGGTCGATGACCCGTTTTTTAACTTGGATAAAGCTTATATTGTTTGTTAGGTTGTTGTAGTAAACCAGTTAAGCTTAACTTTTCTAAACCTTATGCCAGCCTACCCTCATATGCTTAAAAGTCTCCCTAACAACCTACATGTGGGGATGGAGCACAGAAATGTTCTACTGGGTCCTCATTAGATTCCCAATAATCTCTTTGAACTTATCAGGCTCATCACCAAATATCTTTTAAACCATTCACTAAAATAAAATTGATTTGATCATGACTAATAACTTAGTTAATAGTGTAAAAAGTATAGGATGGCTGGTACTGCTTCTCTTTTTACCTTAAATTTCTTTAGGTGGCCAGTTCAGGCTCTTTGTTCTATCACAAGAAAACATGTTTGTTTCATTACAACAATAGCTTCTTTAATAGTGTCCAGACGATTGGTAACTTGATCCGGCTTTGCCCACACAGAAATGGCTGTTTGTTTTCCCTGTGGTCGATAAAAAAATGACAGCCTTGACAACCTTGCTAAGGTTAGGTGTCTTAGGATGGGAAAAAAATGACTTAGGTAACAATAAATTAGATAATTAGCAGAGGTGTTTGAAGGGGCAACTTTAACAATAAATTAGATAATTAGCAGAGGTGTTCGAAGGGACAACTTGAATATCTCCTTTTTATTACCTCGCAACAATCATTATCTTCTGCTTAACAACAATTCAACTTATATGAAGTTTTCCCCTTCAGCAGTTCCTGATTAGTACTTATTTTTTATTCTTGAAGAATGATGAGTCATCGGTTTCCTTTTAAATTAAATCTTATACTGTGTGTTAGGTTATTGTAGTAACCCAGTTAGGCTTGAATCTTCTAAAACTTATGCCGGCCTACCCTCTTATACATATGCTTAAAAGTCTCACAAAAAACTACGTGTGGGGATGGATCACAGAAATGTTCCCCTGAGTCCTCATTGGAATCCCTATCTCATAACTTGAATTCCATCTTTTTAGTGTGATTCGAATAAGTGCGTTTGTAACCAATTCAGTTACCTAATTCAATCATGACTACACTTGCAAACGATTGGAAGGGTTGGTAAAGGGGATTTAGAAAGTCATACTCAAAAATTTCCATTTGGATGGATACACACGGACTAAATTGAGGCAACACATATGTCTGCACCTTGCGCTACCCCAGAACTTTTCTTCGCCTGTCAGGTTACCATGCCCTATATCATCTTGAGGGACAAAGCCAACTATTTTGTTGTAAAACTCCATACTTTCAGCCTTTCCATTTATAAGAATCGAACCCCTCATGGTACAACCCGTAGCTTTTCCGGTCAAAGCAGAAAAAAAATGTTGTCTTGCCAGGCCCTGAAGGACCCCTGACAGCAGAAACACGAACGGGCAACAACTTGCCTGGCACACACCTCGTCAAATGTTTCTTTTTATCCTTCAAAGTAAATGTCAAGTCTATAAAAATAACTCAAAGAGAGGTCTACCCACAGTTTCAAACTCGCTAGGCATTGAAATAACACCAGAAAAGGTCATATTCTCGTTTTGCTCCTACAGTGCTTTTTGTTTCTCAATTTCACCATGTGCATATATCTACAGATTTGGCTGCGAGTATGCAATTGCTCAGAATTATGCTTCTTTAGTTTTTTATCACCTATCTCAACATTAAAACCCCCATAACCATCAGGGTTCTATTGAAGTGCACACATCATTTTTTTTAAGATTGCTTTCCTTCTTAGCTGTTGCTGGAGGCATGCCAGAGGGCATAGGTGGCAAGGCAGCATCCTTTCCCCTGCTCTGTTCTGACACATAGGACTTTTTGCAAGAAAATGTTCGTGGTTTAGATGACTAAAGTCCACTTGCATGCTTTTTAGCAACATCCTTTGTAGCTTTCCGTGCAAAAAAAAGTTAACATACAACATTTAAAATTGGGCATAATCCTCTCGCGCAACGCGCGATAAAATAACTAGTACATATATATTAGTGTACTCGGATGATTTTAGTGTACACTCCCATTTCTAGTTAAGAGAAGCTGCTATATCAGTATAGAGGGGAACACTTAATATTAAAAAACTCATTATAAAAAGAAGTTGCTCTTTTAATAACTATATAGACACTCTCTTATTAAATGATTAGAAGGAAGCATATTGATGTGAGTTTTCTCGCACTTAAAAATGATGTAGTAAAGTGGTTGAAAGTACGAGTATCGTCTCCACAGGGACGGACAAAAGGGAATTAAAGATTAACTAAATTCAGCGAATAAAAATAAAATAAAATAAAATGCAAGTGTGCGAGATTGATTGATTGAATAAAAATTAAATTAAACTAATGCGAATGAGCGAATAAAATAAATGTTTGGTTTCTTTCTAATTAACGACAAAGGGAACAGGGATTGATTCTGGGGTAACCATATTTCTGGCAGATCAGGCCTAATTACATGAAATTAATTTAATTGAGCCTAGCTAATCACTACTAAGTTCTTACCGCTCTCGCGGCGTAGAGTACAATAAATTAGGGGACCAGGCTGATCTCTCATGCGACAGGATACTAAATTATTGCCAAGACGAGCGAGCTTACGGCCCAGAATAAGTGTGTGTGAATGTGTCCTAAAATAAACTAGATCTCTCTTAATTTATTCTACAAGCAATTGTAATTCTAGCCGCGGTTCCAGGTTACAAAAGATATCAATTAAATTATTCAAACACAAATTAAACGGCATTCATGCAATTAAACCGAAAAGAATCTAGCCATCAATCATGATTAACCCCTTCATCAACCCCAAATCTCTAATTAAACTACTCACAATTCATAATTGAAGAATCAACAGAATTGGGATGAATAGAAATAATTGTCATTAATTAAAAAGATAGAACTTACAAAGAATCTCTTAATCTTGAAGAACAAGGCTTGAAAAGCTCTCAAAAATCGAAATAGGGTTTATCTCTCTAAGCTCCTCCCCCAAAAACAGGCAAAATAGGGGTCTATTTATAGAAAAATCCGAAAACACGCCGAAAATCAGGCCGCACGGTCGTCCGCACGCCGTGCGGGTCACCGCGCGGTCACGCGCGCGTTTTTCCGTCTTCCGTCTTTCGCTCCGCCCGCACGGTGTGCGGGCGCCGCACTATGCAACCGCGCGGGTACTTCTGGGGGCTATTTCTAGACCGCGCGGTGTGCGGTTTCGGCCGCGCGGTGTGCGGTTCAGACCCCTCAACTATTTTCTTTCAGAATCGTCCGCGGGGCGTGCAGAACCGCACCGCGGGGCGCGCGGAATGCTCTTGGACCGTTTTCTTGCCATTTTTTCCCCCGTTTGCTCCCGGATACTTCTTTAATCAATCCAAAGGCCGTTTCTTCATCAAATCTTCGCCGTGAACCTCCTGGTGGCCTCCAAAACTCTCAAATCTCTCTCGAATGTTCTCCAACTCTTCCCGATTGCTTCTTAAGCGCCGGTGCCGGACTCTAAATTCCTGATTTTGACTCCAAACAACACAAAACTCGAACCAACGCCCGATAAACATAACTTGAGCTAAAATTGAGACTTGTAACACCTTAAAGCTAGGAAAACCATCAAAAGCCGATCCCAACACGCATCAAATGCGTGTCTAAATACGGACTTATCACATATCATTTCAAGAGATGCAAAAGTATATCGACACTGAAATTCGAAGGGGATAGAAAACTACACAACGAAAGTTTTGCCTAGATTTCTTGAAATATCCTAGACTTAGAAGCTGTTCCGTTCCTCAAGTAAAATCCGATGAGTCAAGAAAAAAAATTGGACTTTAACTTATTATTAGTAAAAACGAATGAGTCAAATGCAAAACTCATACTGAAGTGATAAGGCAAGTGGATTAGCTACAAAAACAAACCCATTTCCAGTTTTCCAAAATAAATATAAAAATCAAAAGCAATACCAAAACCATATTATATATGTCACAGCCCTTCAAATATTGATTAACTCACACTTTTGGGAGAAATTGAGTAATAAGAGGAGTATTGTTGTACTGAATAAGATATGAAATAAGACTAAATTTAATGGAAATGAATGTCAAACTCAATTCGATTTGAAATAATATACTTTTTAATGTGGATAGATCGGATGGTACTATTAAAGAAATTTTAGTTAGGGAGTTTGTGGTGAAATTTGCTCCCATAAAAATGATCTCTGCTTTTGATGATATAGTTCTAAGGAAGACATAAATAATTAACACGATTATCTTTTCAAAACCATTCATAAATAATTAACTTGGGACATGTGGTGCTTATTTTGCAGCTTACCCATCTTAAGAACATCAGTCATTTATATTTTCCATGTGAATCTTACCCAATCAGATTGGTGTTCGCATGAATGTTGTGGAGTGGAACATCATCAGCTGCCATTTCAACTAACTTTTTGGACTCAGTTTCAAGAGCTTCACCATAACCCATACATAGAAGCACTAAAATATTATACAATGCCTCCTAAAAGAGAACTTGTGCAATGCCATTAGAATGGAGAACCTAGAATAGTTCATCACCTTAGAAAGAAAGCACATGAGTGTAAAAATGAATAAAAAATACAAAGAATCACCATAACCGGTCGGGGAATCCTTGGAAGCATCTCTTTTTGACATGTTTCTATATTCACCTTCCTTTTTCCTTTTCCTTGGTTGTTAATAACCATCTATGATAAGGAAAAAAACTCATGGTTAGAGAGCTGAAGAAACACATATTACACACCTTTTGGGTGATAAAGATTATTATCATCATCATAATAAAATAATGCGGAGTATCTCTAATTCTGGTTCATACTGACCTGATTTCCCCCCATTGCAGATCTTCGTCAACTGTTGTCGGGAGGTCAGCTAATATATGTTGGTGAAGGTGGTACAATGGTTAACTCATCAATTAGCTTCACCAACTGAATAGAAAATGCAAGCTATTAACATAAAGTAATTTATAAAAAAAAATACTAAATAAAGTATAAGGTATAGAAATTAAGACTCCTCTAGCAGGGAAAGAGACAGTCATGATTACTATGGAATTAATATTGTATGTTGCATACACCACTACTTTGTTTCTTCCTATTATCCATTCTTGTTATCCAACATCCTTATTCCTTCCACATAAATAAGATGCATATAGCTATTGAAGTATCAAGTAATATAATCTATGGAGGTGAGCTATATTGTCACAGACTTTAGCAATATTTCTTATTTATGGTTTATATTTACCAAGTGAGGCTAAAGCAAAATGCATATAGTTCCTTCTGAAACAAAACTCACACCATGAATAACAATCTTTATTCCTTGAGAAAAATATATATTTGATAGTAAACTATAAAAAGTAGAATACCATCTGTCCACTATAAAACGTACTTTGTTAAGGTGACAGTGTTTATTATGATATCTAATCTTGCCCTTGATTCAACCTATTAAATAATTCTCAACCGTACCCCTGCTCTCTTTCATAAATGATGACAAATGGCTTCTTCCATAGAGCAAAACCATCAAAAGCAGAGAGGGTTTTTTCAGTGAGTAGATTTTCACCATAATTGTCTCTAACTGAACTTCTTTTAGTAGAGTGCCGTCAGTCCACAACAAAAAGTATTTTATTTCAGATCTTATTGATTATGACAGTGTTTATCACGAAATTACGGTATAAACTTTTGTGTGTGTTTACTTGTAAGCAACATAATACAAATGTCAATGACTAAATCTTTATTTGTCTCGATCCAACCCATTAGGTACTACACGCATTACCCTATGATGCTTTCTTTCATTTGTATTATTACATCTACATACTAATCTCCGCTGTGAGATTAGCAATATCCTGCAAAGAAGAACAAAACTTAGGCGTATCCAGCGCTCAGTCTCCTAAATACTTCAAATGCACTTGGTTGTTTTAAATTTCTCATTTCAACTGCTCAACAACATTTTCATAGGGTCCTCTTTTTCATTATAAACTATTTTAGATTACTTCTAGCTAACTCTATTTTCATTATCAGCCAGGTATAACCACCACCCACTAACATAATCTATTTAAATGGCGAGGGATTGTAAAAGGAGAATTATCTCTTTATATTTACCTTTGCGCCCCAGGTATCTAGATAAAAGTATAAACTAACACACGGGATGTGTTTACATGGCAAGCTCTCAAGCTGTATATCCCAATCTGTCGATGAACTATCGGAGAAGAAAGAGGCGTGCGCTGGTATTTTTATTTTTTGGCCGAGAAATATGTATACGCAGGAGGAGAAGGGGAGTGGATTTAATCGGTGGTTTCGCATTCAAAACATTTCATCGAACACCTTATGTGCCATAGCTTATATACTTTGTGCACTTACAATATGTGTAAAAAGAACTTAAAAATCAGCAGCGAATACTAATTAGATGATGTGATGAGAATAGATGGCGCACCTGCGTTATTAGAGAGGGCAATACAGCATAAAACCCTAGTATTCTAACGGTATATATATATATATAGGGATAAATACCTTGTATTGCAGTGGTTTGTGCTGTGACGTCCCTCAAAATTGCGGTAATTCCGTGGATGGGGAGCGGGAGAGGCGTGTTATACATGGTAAGATGTCAAGCTGTATATCCAAAAAAAAAACTGTTGAGGAATTATTGGAGAAGAAGCTTGTATTTTTGTTGGTTTGGCCGAGAGATATGTATGCGCAGGAGTAGCATAACAGGGGAATGAATTTTTATTGGGAAAAATGATCCAGTACGGGTTATTTAAAGAAACTATCAACGAAAGGACCATTATAAGCATGAAACTGTTAGAACTCCCTACGTTAGGACTATTATTTGTTTGAACTTATTATTTTCAGAAACTGTTAGACATCTATCATCCACCTCCAGTGATGAATACCTCCATTTTTAGATATTTTTAGATTATTACCTTACTACTCAATCGATGTCAAAGGTTTATTTTTAAAACTTTCACACATGGTCTAATCATAAAATTATACGTAGTCAGAGGGGTAAAGACGTGAAATATATCTTTAAGAAACTTTCATTGAAATATATTTCAAATGCCAATACACAAACTCCACATTTATTTCATGATAGAACTTGATTCTCAAATGGATACCTGAATACATTAAGCATAAATAGGAGCATTAGACTTAAAAGGAGATTGTTGCAACCATATTAAGATAGTACTCCGTATAAATTTCACCTTCGTAAGAACACGATAATGACTGCAATGAAACCAAGAAAATACACATTACAATTAAAAAAGTTAGAGACCTGCAGTAAAAGGGTGTGCACTACACTCCCATGTTGCTGAAATCAGACAAAATGCAGTAAAAAAACGAAGTAAGAGTCAGTTGTATTTAAATTATATGGACATGGAGACACATGATTTAGTTCGTATAGTACTCTTAATGTGGTTAAGATCAAGATACTGATATAGTTAAAGGTGATATATGGGAAAAGCTGAAAACTAGAGAAGGGCATAGCTAGTGAAGGCAAACGGTAAATTAAGATATGCGCCGAAAAAGTAAGAATAATTAGAACAATGTGTACAAAACAGAGCAGTTTAAGAAGACTCACATATATACTTCCTCAAAAGGGAACACTGTGAGGCTCAAACAATTGTTTAAGTTGTATTCAAACTCAATGAGCACTTTAATCGCCGAAGCCGTGATTTTTTATATCCATTTGGACATCAAGATGATTGAACTGCATATACATACATGACATTGTCAAATAACCAAAAGAAACCGGCAAATACCTTTTCACCAGGATACACTTCAATAACTCAAAAACCACTTTTAAGAGAGCCGTTCAAGGTTTCAAGTAATTAAAAAGAATCAAAAGCTCATACACTTTCATAAATAAGAATATATATTATAATATATTGGAGAAATGAAACCATCAAGAATGTTAGAATAAGGAATAGGGAATGAGGAAAATATATAATCTAAACCAAAAAAATAAATTGAACTATAAAAACTAATCTTTTTTTCATATAAACATTTCATTGAACACCTTATATGCTTTGGTGTACCTATAACTCATGTAAAAATTGAGAAATAAATTCATCAACAATAAAAGAACATGGAATAAGAGAAAAGGGAGCGTACCTAGAGCGGCAATGGCCCAAAGGTGGGTAATCCCGTACATCGAAAGCAAGTGGATGAGAGACCTGTTGGTCTTGTAAGTGGTAAAACTCGTGTGAGATGTGCGAGTTTGAAGATAGGTTTTGAATTCTGAATAGCTTTAGGTGAATTTCCCAAGCAAACAGCTGTGAAAAATAGGTGAGTGCGGAGAAGATAGAAAGAAACGGGCGTGAAATTTCGTTCGGTCATGAGAGCTAAAAGACGCTTAAACACATGAGTGAGCCACGTGGCAGCAGGATATGAAAAGAGGGAAAGTTGGGAATAAAGACACGTAGGTATTTTTAAGGATAGGAATGTCTTTATATGAGCTATGTCTTTTCTTATATATAAATAGATTATGAGAACTAGTTTACATGAATAGAGTATCTTAGGCGTTGTAAGGCTTTTTTATTTTTCAAAAGGCGGATCCTTTTCAGAAAAGAGTAATTATAGGAAGTATTTATAGACGTAGAACTATAGTAGCCTAAAAAGATATAGCCGATACATTTAATAGTCTAATCATGATAGGACTCTTCTAACGTCTCCCATTATAAGCTCTAGGATGAGTCCGACCTCTCCAGAACAGAGTCGACTAATAAATTTAGAGGTCTTGTTCTTCATACCAAAATGGAGGCCCACATAAGAATTAAAATCACAAATAATAAAAAACTCACAAAGTTCAACAAAATTTAAAAATTACAAAAGCCGGATTTTTTATTCTTGAAGTTAACAAGTACTGATTAACAATTAACAATTTTAATAACAAATGTGAAATGAAGGTCAAAAGTAAGAACTGGAAGTGAAGGGAGCAACATGCGATTAAAGTTTGAGGCAAATAGACGATATTGCAATAAAAGTGAGAAAAGGGTAAAAAACTTGAAGGCAGATTGAGAGAACAAAGCAACAGAGATGAGAGCCTAAAGAGTAGGAGAGACACGTGATTCGAGAACCGCTTTCACAGAGGATGAACTGATTTCCAATCCTGGACAATTGAATTCGATTATTTGAAAATTGAAATAGTTAGTGGCCGTATGCGGAATTGCGAATATGTTGATTAGCGATCAGCTAGAAATGATGAGTCGACCTTTTTGCGCCCGATTTTTAAAGAATAACTCCTAGACTGGTTGCCGATTAGTATACTCATTTTATATACTCATTTTACTTATTTATTTATATTATTGTTATTATGAAGGTAGTATTCATAATACTAATATTGAAAAAATGGGGCTCCAAAATTTGGTGGGCCCTGTTCCAAAGAACATGTTAAATCGTTGCCTTCGGCGTGAGAGAAGATGAGTCACAATCATAGCCGGTTTTACACCGATCGAACCCTGTGCACAACGGAGGAACCAGGGGGTGCGAGCCGGTGCCGACGTCACCCCTTCGCCGGAGCTGTTAAGGTATATATAGGTAAGATTTTGGCCGGCGCCCCTGAATTGTTTCTACCTTCACAGTCAACCGGTGCCCGACGCCCCTGTCCTTTGCTCGCTGGTGCGCTGATACGAAGTACGAACAAAGGTTGAGAAAATCATTTAGCTGAACGACATCGTTTGATGGAGTTAGAACTTAGAAAAGGAAAAAAATTAAAGTAAAACGACGGGCAGTTTTGCAATAAACGACATTCCATTTTCTCAATGTAAAATAATTGAATAAACATTACGTCCTTACAACCTTACTCCTTTGGGCTTAGGTTATTTTGACCTCAGCAGCTCAGCCCAAAAAACGAAGAGACCAAGAGGAGAAATTGAAGAAGATTGATTATTTGAAAATTAACCGCTGCCCGCCGGTGCTGTGCTAGACCGCTGACTATCTCTGGAAGCCGGAAAATAGAAGACATGGGTGCTCGCTGCTGCGCATTTTGGTGAAGAGTTGAAGATTAAAGTCCTTTGTGAGAAGGTAATATTATCTTTTCTTCTTTTATTTAATACTCTGTATATTTTAATATTTGGATGTGTGAATTGTATTATTGTAATGTGTTGTTGAAGTGTGCGGCCTTTGTTCATTTATTTTATTAGACAGTGTAGTGGACCTCTGAATTCATTCTTTATTTCTTTTAGTGTTATTTGTTAAGGAAATAATCTTATTAATTTAATAGTGAATTTATTGATAAAATATAAACCATAGCTTATTATTATATGCATTTGTTGTATAATTTAATAGGTTAATTATGTTAAAATTTCTAATTTCTAATAACGAGTGAAGAGTACTCTTCAAAGCCTCTACAAAAAAGGTCAAAATTGTCTCTTGTTAATTCAATTCTGATCGATAAGATGGTTGCTGATCAAGGTTTATGTGAATGTATTTGTGATTTTGATTCTTTGTGTAGAGATCATGTCCGTTTCGAGTAGTAAAGACGTTTTTTAATTGGATTGAAATTTTTTGGTCTGGTTTTGTCTAGTCTAACCTGATCGAGTCGTATCTGGATTGAAAAAGTATCCAAGTAAAAACATCCTAATTATATAGGGGTTTTTGAGGGGTTTTGATGCTTCATCGGAGGATGGTTCTCAGCACCCCCTCAAAAAAAGTTCTGGTTCCGCCACTGACTGTGCAGACAACGTGACAAAGGTGTCGTCTAGAAATCCAGCTGATTGTGTATGGCCACCTGCCGGAACCACAAATGATGTCAAAGACAACTTAATGCCACGAATTGCATAAGCTTCAGTCTAGTTAAAGAAAGACATTTTAGGGAAAACTATCAAATGAGCCCCCGTACTATGCCGAAAAAGTCGATTAGGCCATCGTACTTTACAAACACTCAATTAAGTCCTCGAACTATTAAAAAACGTTCAATTAAGCCCTTTCGGTCAGTCAGTAACTGGTTTCCCGGTTAAATGTAACCCGTTTCCCGGCATCCGCCGTTGTTGGGGTTCGAGCACATCGTCGCCGTCGTTGCCGTTTAACCGGGAAACCGGTTACTTACCGACCAAAAGGGCTTAATTGAACGTTTTTTAATAGTTTGAGGACATAATTGAGTGTTTGTAAAGTACGAAGGCCTAACCGACTTTTTCGACATAGTACGGGGGCTTATTTGATAGTTTTCCCGACATTTTAAATACGTCTTGTGAAGAACATATAACTTACCTCAAATTGAAGTTTTTTACGAAAAATTTTGTAATGAATCTTGGGTCCCTGCAGATAATTAGTGTACAATGGAAATCATAAAAATTAAATTTTGTGGAATCGCCTAATCATAAAAAATTGAGTTAATTACTCATATAGGACTAAAAGACACAATAAATGCTAAAATAGGAGTGCTTTCATAAGTAATGTTTCATAGGACTCATTTAAGCCTGAGTGGACCATAATAACCTTATTATAAATAAGGCAACACATTTCAAAATCTCAGTAACCGTGTTCACTAGATACTTAGACAAGTTCGAGATGCAGCCTCCCAAACCAGCATCGCTGTCCACAACCATCATCATTCGCCGCTGCCGCCCTCCCGTAGCGCCGCCTACTGCTGGCGCCGTCAGTCACCGCCGCCGCCGGTCGGCGACGCCTGCCGCCGCATCCCTGCCGGTACATCATTGCCGCCCACCGATGTTGCCATCCTCCGCCGCCGTCACAACTTCGTCGTTGTTGCCAGTGTTAAATCTGGCGCCACCACTACACCTCTGAGCACCTCCGTCGCTGTCGCAAGTCCAGCACCGTAAATCTGCCATTAGGTTGGCAGATTTAGCCATGGAGATTGATTACAAATATGCCATTAATATGAATTTCGGATATGCCAAAAAGTGGCAGATTTATTTAGGAAGAACACCACAAACTGCCATTATTTTGGCAAAAATATGAAATTACCAACCAAATATTTGAATTCTTTTTTATAAATGGAATAAGCACTCTAACACAATAAAAAATCAAAAATACGAAGCTAGTGACAAAACTTCTGAAAATCCGATTTACACAAAAAAATCTACCATAAACAATTGTCAATGTGCACATTTTTGCCATAAACTTGGTAAAATCTTATGCCATCATCCAAAAATTCAGAAAATCGGAGATTTTTAAAAGTAAGGAAGTCGAAATCGAAAATACGAAATAGAATCTGAAAACCAGTAAAATCTATGTCAACTCAGAAGAAGATAGAAGAAGAAGAAGAAGAAGAATGAGAAGAAGAAGAAGAAGAAGAAGAAGAAGAAGAAGAAGAAGAAGAAGAATGAGAAGAAGAAGAAAACTGACCGACATGGACGATGGCTAGATCTGCAGGGGAGAAGAGGAGTGCAGTGGAGATATCAGTGGCATGCGATGGAGATAGTGGCGGCTTCCAGTGAAGTCGATAGAGCTGCACGGAGAGGAAGAGATATGATGATGCGGAGAAGACAAGATGCAGAGAAGATTGTGGAGAAGATGAGATGCAGAGAAAAGGAGATTCGCGCAGAGAAGATGAGATGCGTAGATGTGCATCGATCGATCCATTTGATTTAGAAGCGTAGGGGAGATAGAAAAGTAACTAGGTGCAGGGGTAAAAATGGGATGGTATTTTTTATGTTTCATAATAGGAGCAAGTTGGTCCTATTTGGGGAAAAAAACATAAGAGGTCCTATTTTTGAATTTTACTCTAGTTTTACTTCTATTTGAGGTAATTTCTATAAAAAAAAATTACTACGTATATTTTCTACCCAATTGAAGCTTAGATTTGCAGTCCTACACAGGAAACAGTACAAGAGTATCATAAATTCATAATGAAACGCCGTAAAGCCAACTTGTAGATATGGATGCGACTGCACGTGTCGGAAAAAATGTCAATCTATCACATTAGCTTCTACTTTAAATCAAAATCTTTTTGCTTTAGATACTCCGTATTAACTAATGGATACACTTTTTACCGCCTCTTATTTTTTTTATATAAAAAAAATTATGGTCACAAATAAAATATGTCTATGCAAATTATTTTGTCTGTGAATCGAATTCACAGATAAAAAATAACTCTTCACAGATATAGTGAATATAAGATGGGTATAAAAATGTGTACAAGAAAAAGCTCTCTATTTTTATTACTCGTAGCAATTTATGAATCCCATCTTGATCAGACTTGGTGATGACGGTCTTAAGCGGAACCCAAAAATCTTTTGCTCCTTTAATACGGAGTATGTACTACTCCCTCCGTTACGGATAGGGATTCCTTATTTCCTTATTACGGAGTATTATTCTTACTAGCTTATTTAACGCGCAATGCACGAATTTTCTAAATTAATGTTAATTAAATAAATATTTACCAACGTAAGGTTGAGTTAATACTAATTCCTAGACTACTGCTACTCTAGTTAAACAAAGCCTCATACACGTAC